CCTTCTCCTCCTCCTCCTCCTCGTCCTCCTCATTTCAGGGAAGGGTCTACAGGGTGTTCAGGGTCACACTACTAGATCAGACTCATAGTGATTCTCCCGTTTACAGCCTCCCAAATGCTTGGATTACAGGCTCGCACCACCACACCCATTCTCAATCACCATCTCAGTGTACCCCAGGGGCGGGGCTGGCATGGCAGGCCCAGGATCAAGCCCCCTGGCTCAGCACTTTAATCTGCTGAGTTATTTGGCTGGCTTTTTTTTTTCTTTTCTTTTTTTCTCAGTGTTATATTTTTTTAAAAATCCTACAAAAGCATTGAGGGCTTTTGTTCCTTTTGACATATGAATACCAGCTGAGACAGGATAACTTTATAATTATGTGTTTATTATTTACTTTAACTACAATATTACCAGCTACCTATAATAGCATTGCAGATGTTAAGTGTATTTAGAGTTGAGACGCCTTCAGAGGATAGGCGACTTCTTCATTTAAAAACATTGAAAACATAAAGTCACAAATGTATTCACTGGATGGATGCTCTTCGCCATACTGCTAGCTAGGTACTGAGGATGTTTCAGAGACCAGGGCAGAGGTATTCTTAGATTCCCACAGCCTACCATCTAATTGAAAAGAAGAATGAAAAACAAGTATGCAGTAGATTAGTGACCCTTGTAATGGGGTCTAAGAAGAGCGCCAGCTATGGAGCAGGGAAAATGCCTCTGAGTAGGAGAAGGCCTTGGGGAATGAAGGCCTCTCGCAACAGCAGGGTTCATGCTGACAACAGAGTTTACTTGAGGACGGAGCCTGGGGAATGTTTGCAATTCAAGCAGAGGCAGAGTTAGTGGATGGAAATGGAAGAGGAGCAGAGGTAAGGAAATGAGGCAAGGCTGCGTGCAGCGTACCTGGAGCTGGCCCCATAGCTGGAGTCCTCACAGAAGGAAGGCTGCAGAAGAAAGGAACCAGGAGTGGAGTGGCCCGGGCCCAAGGCTGGTGGCCAGTGTCAAGCAGCTTATCTGTGTAATGTCAGCATGGTTCAAGATCGGGGCATTGGGGCTGGTGAGATGGCTCAGTGGTCTAAAGCACCTACTTGGAACAAGCTTAGCAAAGCACAGGGACCGCGGTACAATCCCCCAGCACCACATGCCAGCCAGCCCCGCCCCCTGGTGGGCTGAGCTGGCCACACACACACACACACTCACAACACAAAATAATAAATGTTAAGAAGAAAAAGATCGGGGCATTTGTAAAGGTGCAAGGGATAAACAGATACACAGATGGAAGAGCAGAATAGTCATGATGGGGGGGGGTCTTTAAAATTAATCAAATGTATACCGTTGTGCATTGCTTAACAAAGAGGCTACATTCTGAGAAATGCATTGAGTGCATTTTATTGTGTGAACTTCAGAGTGTGTTTGCACAGGCCTACGTGGTAGAGGTCAGTCAGTCACCCCAGGCGGCCTCCAGCAATGCCACATATTGACAGATGTACAAGGCTGCTGCCAGCACAACATGGAATGTTTAACAGTAAGCTATTTTTTTCAAGAAGGAATATACTCTAAAATCATGATAAATTATAGCATAGCAAGTACATAAACCTGTATCACCATGATAAAGTAATATATACTAATCCATAATATGCACCATATTTTCATATGGTTAGTGGGAAAGTAGGTTTACACTCATCTCTCCACAGATGTAATGTTTGGCATTATGACATTAAAATAGCTATGATGTCACTAGGTGGGAGGAATTTCTCAGCCTTAGTGTAATCACACGGGACAACTGTCATATACGTGGCCCACAGTCGATCCAACTTATCATTGTGTGGTATGTGACTATATTTAATGTAAGGAACTGCTAAAGGTTTCTTGATTGGGATATAAGGTGATAAACATGGTTGGTGAGGAAACCATACCATATCCTAGAAGATAAATTGTGGGTAAAGAAGAGACAAAGAAATAAAGTAGAAGTGATGACAATCTTCTGAATATCATTGAGGGTATAGGCCATTGGAATGGTGGGAAACCACAGCTGTGGTAAGACTGGAGGACAGAGACTTGGGATCTGGCTGTGGGAAACCAAATAGGATGAGTCAATGACTATGTCTCAAGTCTTTGAGTCTCAGTGGCTCAGAATTCATTTTTTTATTTCTTCTAAGGAGTTGTATTGAACATCTATAGCCTTGAAGATATTATGTGGGGAAAATGACCTTTTCCTACCATCATGAATTTTCAGACTAGTAAAGGAAGCTGGTACCACACGAGAGTGGTAGATTGTGGTTACCTGTGCTGGGAAGGAACAGGGTCCTGTGCCATATATGCCTGGCATATAAGGAAACAGGAAAAACTTCCTAGGGGAAAACACAGGCTGAAATCTGAAGTGAAAAGGAGTCCTAATATACTCATGGGGAGGTAAAGTTTGGAAGCAACAGAATATCCAGAATTCCTGTTGTCAGAAAGAGTATCAACATGACCAAAAATCACCAGACAATCCACCTAAACATAGTGTGACAAGCAAGGAAGTATCTGAGGTGACACTGGGATTGGGGTGGGGAGAAGTGGAACATGGTTAAGATGAGGTTGAAAAGGCAGGAAGAAGCCGGTTCCTCAGAACTTGTAAGCCAGGGAGATGGCTCAGTAGGATAAGCGCTTGACTGGCAAACGCAAGGATCTGAGTTCAATCCCCGGTTCCGCAAAAAAAAAAAAAAAAAAGAACTTGTCATTATTACGAGAGGATTGTTTTCTCTACACTGAAGGTACTTAAATAAGGGTGTCATAATCAGATTTGCATCCCCTTTGATAAAGCTGCTTGCTGTGCGTAGTGCTGGAGACCTTGGGGCCTTCTTAAAAGCTTTTTGTAACTTGTTTTAGAGGCTTTTCATGAACTCCTATACTAGAATGGGTTTAAATCTCACATGTATCTGTTACTCCAGTTTTAACATTAGGAATTTATATTCAATGTCATTTATATCCCAGGTCTTAATGATGCTTTTCTACAAAATGTCACTGTTCCCCACATTTTACACACCTCACAATCTCATATGGTTTTTATTTTCTTGGCCAGCTCAACCGTGGTCCCCTGCGCCTGCCTATGGGAGGTGCTTTACATGGCTCAGCTATCTCACCGGTCCCTCCCCACTCTCATTTAAAGTGAGAGTTCTTTAGCCTTTTTCTTCTCCTTGGATGAGATCGCCTCCATATCTCTTACTGTTGAGTAATAACCCATATATCACAGTGAGAACAATCAATGGCTTAGTTGTGGTCATGATGTTCAGCGTCATGTCCTACCCACATTGCACATCACTTGATAAAGTTACAATGTTAAGAATGTTTGCTCATCTCGCAGAGCACTCTGGAACTCTACCTCAGTCTAAGGTTTTACCCTGCTGTGATGAATGCTGCTATGCACATGTACAAGTCTCTTCACCACTCTTTCAACGTTTGAGACAGGTTCTCGCTATGTTGTCCAGGCTGGCCACAAACTGGATCTAAGGAATCTTCCAGCCTCAGCCTTTCAAGTAGCTATAACTAAAGTTGTACACTGCCACCTGGCTTCCCTTTCACTTTGAGTACATACCCAGAAGGGAAGCTGCTGAACCACAGGGTTGACTGCACTGATCCTTTCGAGGTGCTGCCATACTTTCCATTGGCTTTATCATTCTTATTTCCAACAGTATACAAGGATTTCAATTCCTCCACATTCTAGCACTTGTTGTTTTCTATGCTTTTTCACTAACTTACATATCTAGTCCTTTGGACTAGATTGGAGTTTTTCATAGGCATATGCTACATTCTTAAGTGATTTTATGACATACTGACTCTAATATTCTACAGGCATAGCAAATTACAATTGTCAATGAAGACTTGATATAGAATATTTCTTTTGATTAAAGAAAGGGTATTTCTTATCGATTTTGAAAAGCTTTGTTTCAATTGTTCTTTATTGTAAGATCATAGAACTAATTACAAATTTAACCTATAACTTGGTAATCTTTACTCAGGTAATAAGTTTTAATAAAAACAAAGTGTTTTTTCAACAACTCAAATGCAGAGTAAGGATGAGAAACATCTGACTGGCCAATAGATTTAGTTCTCACTAAATGAACTCCAAGCTCTTTTTCAGGAAAAGTGAACTGTGATTTCAGAAGACAGTATGGGAAGTCTGTCACAGCCTAGCTTCCACTTAGTTAACTGTTTCTGGCAGTCTCAACTGGGATGGACACATTTACATAATGGGCTGGGCTTGAGCCTTCTTTGCAAGCAGCTTTAGATCCGCAATACACTTGGCAATTGTCTCCTTTTCCTGTGATAAGGAAAGAAATCTGGTTAGACTTCCGCATAACACTGAAGGATGAGATCTATATATATCTATAGATAGCTATATGTATCTCATAGTGCTAAAGGATAATCCCTACCAGACCAGAATCTCAAAAGGATACGGGCTTAGTATGTAAGATTATTGAATAACTTTGGAGGAAAAATTATTTAACAGAGGGAGATGCACTTTACTCTAAGAGCAAATCCAGGGAGTTAAAATTCCCTGGCTTACAGCTTTTATGGGTGAAATTGGCTGTAACAATCTGTTCTTGCTATTTGCTTGTATAGCTAACAAATCCTTGAAAAAGATTAATTGAACAAAGATTAGTAATACAGAAATATTAAGAAATATTGGAGGGCTAGCAAGAGAGTTCAGTGGACTAAGCGCCTGCTTAGGCAAATGCAGGGACTGGGGTTTGATCCCTGCCACCACATTCCACGCTGGCGACCAAATCTGGGCGTGGTGGTCACGCTTGCAATCCCAGCGCTGAGGAGCCTGCAAACAGGAGGATCACTACAAGTCTGAGCTGTGTAGTGAGACCCTGTATAAAATAAATAAATTAAAAAAAATTGAAATTTTCTAAGTTACATAAATACATAAAATATTTTCTAAGTTACATAATAAATATATATTACTCTTATGCAAACAAGTGTACTTTGTTCAACAAAAACCCTGCAGTTTTCATAAACCCTGTTTATTTTCTAATTCTGAATAGGTTATATAGAAAAATGCTTAGAAATGCCCGAATAGGCTATGTATCTTAGACAAAAGAAATTAGGTCATAAATAAATGAAGAACAGAATTTCAGAAAATAGTTTAAGCAAATAATAGAAAACATTTTTGTTGAAGACACATGAATTAAAGAAGCTGGAAAGATGACATAGAATGGAGCTCATGGGAATAGGAAACGGAAGAGGCTTATTTTATGTTTTACACAGAAATATGTAGAGTAGTACTACCCCAATGATGGAATGTGAACACAGGCCAATGACTTTTTGTATTTATTTAGTACAGGGTCTACAGGGTCTTACTATGTATACAGGACTCCTAGTGCTCCTCCTCTTTATAGCCTCCCAAGCTCTGGGATTATAGGCATTTGTCACCATGTCCAGTCTGGTTCGCCATCTCAGTGTGTCCTGGGGGGGGAGGGGGCCCAGCATGGCCTGTGGTGCTAGGGATTGAACCCCGATTCTTGAGCTCTGCCTAAGCAGGCACTTTAGTCCGCTGGGCTATCTGGCCAGCCCTAATGACTTTTTGACACATGAGGTGAAAAACTGTTAAGTGGACTCTGAAGGAAAGGGAAAGCTGTCAGAGCATCTGCGTAGTGTCTTTTATGATTACAAACATCAAAAATAATTCAACCAACCAGGGCCACCTTGCGATTTGTAAGCCGAAGATTCTTAGTTACCTCCCCCTTATCAAGCATTAGCAGACGCTTGTCAGACAACCCCAGCACAACCCCGGCAGCTGCACACACGGCGTACCTGCTGCGCAGAGATGCTCTGCACCACCTGCTTCTCCACCCAGCTGATCATGTGCTCTTATTCCTTGCGACTCATCATGTTCTGAACAGAGATATGATAGTCCAGGCGATTCTTCACTTCCCTGTATACTCTGTGCAGCCGTTCCCGGTAAGCAACTTCCAAGGCCATCGCAATGTTGTTCTGGGACAAAAACAAGAAAGGATGAATGCTGCTTGCATAATTTAAACAATACTTCTTTCATTCTGAAGCTTTTCACAGTTAGAATGCTGTATTTCTCTCTTGTATGTTACATGAAATTCTTTTAAATAAATAACTGGTGTACAATAAAGTTGTAATACCATATGGTAAAAATACAAGTGTAGGTATTAAGAAACACAACTCCTCTTGCACCACTACAGGTTACAACTTTTTCCTGAATTTCTTGTATTCTCTGCCCACAGATGTGTAATAAACCTAACAGGCACATGCATACATCCATCACCTTTATCATGAGATGCAAGCCCACCTCAATTTTAAGTTATCCTGAACTTCACTATGTTAGCATTCTACAACTTATGTATCCAAGTTCTAGTAACAGATTAGATTCCCATTTTCTACTACAAACAATGCTGTATATATTGCATATTTTTATTGAACTTGTGTGCAAATATCTGCTAAAATGCTATTCAAATCTCATAACTACATTAAGGGATAGACACTCATATTCATTTTGGAGCAGAAACTGAGGCAGAAGTAAAGGAACTTACTCATTACAGAGCTAGTAAGTCAAGATGTTAATACTGGGAGCTGCGCTACACACAAAGCCCATGCTCTGAAGGACCTCTGAGAGGCACCTCACGTCAATGCAGCCAAAACTGACCAAAGCATTGACACCTAAGGGAGAGTACGCCTGTGCTTACAGATGCCGCAGAGTGATGATGAACCTTTTTTTTTTCCTTAGAATAAAACGATTCTCATTCTGTCTCTCCCCTCTCAAGGGTTTCCCTAAGTAGTTCAGCTTGGCCTCAAACTCAGTGTTCCTCCTGCCTCAGCCTCCAAGCGCAGGGATTACAGGCCAGCCAAAAAGATATGAATGTAATTTTTTTCTAAAATAAGACCTCATTATTCAGGCTGAATTGTAGTGTTGGCACTTACCTGAAGTGAGGTTTGGCTTGTAGTTTGGCACCTGGGTTCTAAAATGATTTGCTATCATTGCTTGAAGACTATTCATTTTTCAGAATGATTCTGCAAGGCAGATTAAGCTGGCCTTGAGCTCATTATGTAGAATAAGATGGCCTTGACCTAATGGTGGTCCACCTGCCTTAGCCTTGCCAGTGCTGTGGTTACAGGCGCGCCACACGCCCAGTGAGACTTTACATTTTTCTAGCCACTGGCTACCTTTTTGGCATCCTTTTATTTTCTCACACACTCCACTTTACCTAGGTTGCCTCTTATTTATAGCAACTAAACATATATTTTTTTTTTGTGTCTCTGTCTGGAATAATTTCACTAGAAATCCAGCTTCTAGCATCCCTGCTTTCAGGACTCTGTTTAAATGATCATGTGCTAGGCCTTTCTTGACTGCCCTATGAAACAGTCACCCCCGTGTCCTGTAGCCCCTTGCTTTGATACCACTTTACCTCCTTCCTGGCACTCACCACCTACCCATCAACAAACCTGACTCATCATTTTCTGGGCTTCGCCCAATGACTAACAGGAAAGTCAACCCCAGGAATGCAGAAATTTTGTTTCTGCTATGTATTTTTAGCACCCTGCCTCAACCATAGCATTCACAGAGGAAGAACTCAACAAATAACCTACTAAACACTTCATAGACAAAAAGTATGATTTGATCTATAAAAAACCCTAAATGTTTTAATTTAGGTTTCAAAAAGCCAGTATGTATTTACTTGGCTGTATGTTTGTGTGGCAAACAGACAGCATTGTTCAGCTGTAATCTGAATATGGATAGAAAGCTTTCAGCATTTTCTGAAATTTTTAAATGTTCATATGCTTAAGATCTTTATGAATCCTGTTTACAAGAAATACAGATTTTCAGAAAGCTCCTAGCAGCTTCTGATTCCACATATTTTGGAATGGGTCTAGAAACCTATACTAATTCTGATGCGTGGAATTCTGAGACCACACAGACTAAAGGCCCGGATCTTTAGTACTTCTGACAGTGCTTACTGTTAGCATCACATTTTCATTGCAAGGGCTACAATATTTCAGGGTGAGAGCACCTTTTAAGTTAAGCCAAAACACTGTACTCAAATAATGATGAAATACTTGAACATCTTACTAAATATTTTAGAATCTATGCTTTGAACATGAGACACTCTACTATTTGAATTTGCTTTGTGAAAAATATCAGATTTTGTATATAAAATATGCCAAACAAGATTTTTTTATAGCAAACATGAATGAAATATAGCAGATAGCTGGGCATGGTAGTGCACTCCTATAATCCCATCACTTGGGGAGGCCGAGACAGGCTACACAACAGCTGCCTGAACTGCATAGTGAGATTCTGTCTCCAACAAACAAACAAAAACCCCAGGCAGATAAAAAATAGATACACAGAGAATGCATTTCACCTTTGGCTTTTCTTAATGCAAGCTATTTTTCCATAAGCTATAACTTAATAACTTACTTTTACATGGATCCAAAATGTGGTTTTCTTTTTAGTTTCTAATACTTCTAATTTTAGAGTATTCTTTTTCTACTTGACTTTTTAAATGTCTAAGCAGCTTTAATTGCCAACCTATACCCAAATCATCTTTTTTGAATAAAAAACCATATAACGTAATCCTCATAAAAATTTCTTGCTTTCTCTATTTTCCTTTTAGTCTTGCACAGACTAGGCCCATGCTCTACCATTTAGCTACACTCAGTCTATTATGTTTTCTTTTAAAAAAAACCAGAATGAGTAACTTCATTCTCCTTAGAGCCCACTGAAACCTACCCTCTGGACATCAAAAAGGTAGTGGCGCTTCTCAACCAGAGCCTGCTGGGACTTTTCCAATTCAATTGCATCCTGGATTTGTTTTATAGATGCTTGCTTTGCCTCTTCTAGCTGGGCAATTTGATCCTGTAAATATATTAACAATAAGAGTCAGTGAAAACACCCAGAGTGGTAAAATGAGACTGCATTCATGCTTCCTCAAAATTATACTGATTTGTGAAGCACCTACAAAGAAACACACATACGGACAGTAATGCATGAACCCTCGGAGGACTGCCCGAAGAGCTATGTAACTTCTTGAATAAAACTACGGGAAAGCTGGAAAGTTTAGCTGACTTACAAAGACTGATCTCAAACTAGTAACTAACACTGATAGCTACAATCTTTAAAATTAGATTTCTGCATGCTCTTTCTCTAACTTTCATATCAAAACTATCACTAGATGGCGTTCCTAGTTCTACTACAATCTAAAATGGAAAATACACTTTGATTCTTACCTCATTCAGCTTATCAATAAATTCTCCAAAAGAGGCACCGTATTTTTTTATTACATAGATAAGCAGACCTACTACAGATATGGTAGAGAAGGTCTCTGGGCTAATCACATATATTTCTTTGGACAGAAAATACAAGATAAGTCCAGTTCCAAGCATGTAGGGTCCTAAAAAAAGAAAAAGTTGTTTTATGCTATGCCTAAAAGGTGGAATATATAAAGACACTATTACATCCATTTGAAGATAAAGTTAAAAAATGACTTGATATAACCAGATCCAAAGACAATGTATCAGACTGAAAGCAATGTGGCAGAGGGGAAAGAACTAAGATCCAGATTCAAGGAAACTATATCCTAACTCTACAACTCGTAAGAAATAGTAATCAAAGTGATTTCTGAAATTAGTTTTCACAAATGGGGATGGTAGCTTTTTCAGAGCTGATGAAACTACAGCCCTTAATTATGATGCTTCAAATATACTTACCTTTTTCTTTAAACAGGCCATGTGTCCTGAAGACATAAAGCATGATTCAGGACTTAGGACACAAACATTTCCTTTAGGCTCTTCCTATGTATCTCATAAGCAAAAAGGCCTTTAGGGCAGCATTTTGCAGTGTTTCTGAGTAACACTAATAACACAGAATGTGAGCGTGTATTATGAAGTAAAAGAATAACAGTCCCAAATATATTTTATCCAGATTTTCCACACAGTCTCAATAGTTCTTTCCTTTCCCCCCCTTTTTGTTTTTGAGACAAGGTCTTGCTATGTCATTCAGACTGCCCTCTAACTGAGCCTCTTGGGTACTGGGACTACCAGAGTATACCTCCACAGCCAGCCATAACAGTTCTTGGTAATACAAACTGCCTTTAGTAGATAATTTTAAATACGAATCTGTCAAGAAAGCCTGATGGTATATAACATTTTTCTATCATCTGGAGATGTAAGGACACCATCTTCCAACTTCAGTTAAGGAAACACTTTAGGCCACTGTAGTATTTTAAAAAGTTCTCTGATTTCTAGTATTCCCCGGTCATAGCAAGGCAGTATAGGGCTGAGGATGCGGTTCAGTGGTACAGCTGAACTATACACAAAGCACACACAAAGTCTTGGGCTAAATACCCACCAATGAAAAACAAAACCAGGCAGTTTGTGAAATAAAAAACTCCTAAACTTAATCAGGCACAACAGGAAAGGAACTATGCAGCAGACAGGATGCTAACTTAATCGGGGAGCCTAGGGGCAGGTCCAGTTCAGTAACAAACAAGATAACCTCACACTGGCAGGTACCCAGCCCATCACTTAATGCCTAAAACAGTGCCTGGCACTAAACATCAACAGATGGAAACAATGCTATAAAATTAAGTTGAAATCCCCCCAAATTCACGCACAGATAAGAACCACCAAATCAACTGCTAACTGATTCACTTCCGCAATTTCTTTTACAATCCAAATGTACTATTAAACGGACCACGCAACACTCACCTGTTACACCAGTTTTAGGATAAAGGAACTGGAAGAATTCCTCCGGAATCAGCCCAAGGCGAACTTTGCCACCACGTTCTGGAAGAGGTGGTAGAGGGGCAAATCTTGGCTGCCCTGTGTGAAAGATCCTTGTTGCCTGCAATACCCTACAGGCAACAATGGCACAAACTTAAGACCTATTTTTCAAATAAAACACAATGTACGAACAAATTGTGAAGACAATGAATAGGGATGAGGACCAGGCAGTTTCCCATATCACAATGGAAAAAGCATGGACTAGGAGGTGGAAGGTTAAAAAAAAAGGAGGTGGAAGGTTAAATGTGACAAGGGCAAAGACTTAAGCACTCTCAAAGCCATATATGACCTTCTACCTGTACTTTCTAGTTTTATAGATCACCTGTCCAGCATTTTCTCTATTTATAGCACTAAACAAACCTTGTAGCAAGCAGACCCTCTGGGTTACAATCCTAGACCTGCCACTTAAACTTCTGCAATCTCACATTTCTCTACATAAAATGGGTATACACTGTATTACTTTGAAGGCTTCCTGCAAGGATTGAATATATGTAGTACTTTCAGAGTGGTTTGGTATCTGATAAAATTCTCTTTTTTTAAAATGGTCTTTTTGAGACATGGTCTTGCTACGCAGTTCAGGCTGGTCTTGAACTTGTGACAATCTTCCTGTTTCAGCCTCTCGAGTGCTGGAATTACAGGCATGTGCCACCATGCCTAGCTCATATGATAAAACGAGTAATGAGTAGCTAGCTATTATACACCTGCTGTGTTGTAAGCTTCTTTATGTCAGTAGCTTTGCCATTTTCATCATTCAGACTTAAGTCCAAAATGAATTTGTGGCCCACAAATGGGCTGGAAGTGACTGTTCCGAGATGGGCCCTTTCTAAGCAGAAGGGTCTACAGGAGACCGTCCCAGCAAAGAAGTAAAAAATGAATGAGCTGTGAGTTTTGGGTTACAATGTCTGGCAAGACCTTGGCTCGACAAATCCTGCTGGTTAAGCTGTTATCTGGGACGTTCCCTGGGGACAGCAGGATACTAAACACCACCAGTACTCTGCTGTGGGTTCAACTCACCTCACAGGGAAGCTTTCACTGGGCTCTTTGTTGCAGCGCACAAAGCGTTGATCATCTGATGATCAAGCTGAGCCTGCTCTGGAGATACTCTACCTCACTGTTTCCCTGTCCCCCGATACTACAGTTGGGCTGCTGGTTAAGCCTCTGGCTATTGGCTTTGGCCTGAACAATACACTTCTGCAACTGTCTTTTATGTGCTGTATGCTGTTGATCTTCACCTTTATCATGTCTTCTGGCCACTGCTGTGAGCTATATCTTCCTTTTGAGTATTGTTTATGCTTTTTAGTACATCACCTATCTCAAGCTTTGGAATTTGAAAGTCATGCTCAAGATTTCTTCAATAAAGGTTCCTCTCCCCTAGCTGAAAACTTTGATTGCTTTCTTAAACTCAGCCAACAAGTCAAAACTTAATCACCCCACTTCTGGTCAAATACCCCATAAACCTAGACTCTTCATATTATTGCCAATGTTGCTACAAGTGCAAATTTGACCTGATAACTGTTTAATACACTCTTACCTGCCTACACAAACTCCTGAATACAATGTACTCAGCTCAGAAACCACGTTTTATGACTTCTTCCTTTTTTCTACCTCCACCCATATGGAGCTGCTTATATTTCCCCAAAGCAAAAACTTGCTTTATGCTGGTCCTTTCAGTAAATGATGGGAAATCACATCAGTCTTCAGAACATTTGAAGCATATCTCCCAAGAAAGTGTCCCCAACTTTCGGCTAACAGGAATCATTCAACAATAAAGCACTTGAGTTTTTACACATGCTAGGCGCTGGGAACCTAGCAATGAACCAAGTCCCAGTGCTCAACATCCTCATCTCATAGTGCATGGGAGACGGGTATTTCCGTACAGAATCTCACATGCTGTAGGTACTGTGACTAACAGAGCAAGGGAACAGGAAAGGCGTTTGGCAGATTAGAGGACATGTGAGCCAATGACTTGGAGCAGGGGTACAGATCCTAAGGCAAAAATGAGCCCGGCAGTTGGCAGAGGTGGTACAGCAAGGCCAGTATAACTGAAAAATGAGCTGAAAAGAGAACCGAAGGCAATGGTCAAGAGGTCGGGTGGATCAATTCATGTTGTCTGGATTAAGCTGTTTGGGTTTTTTCAAGAGGGATGGGGGCTCTGAAGGTTTTTGGGTAGAGGCTGACATAATCCCTCTGGCTACTGTGAAAATGGGCTCTGCTGTGCCAAGACTAGTTAACAGGCCTCTGGAACAGCTTAGATAAAAGTTGGTGGTGGTTTCCCTACAGTAGTGGTGGTAGCAGAAGTGATCAGGATCAAAACAATTTGGAGGAGAAGCCTTGCTGACATACTGGAGATAAGAGTAAGAAAATCAAGCATGTTCCTTTAATCTCCTATATATCATTAGATCCTTTATTACTGTATGGAGTCTTTTTTCTCTGATGAATTGTAGCCAATTATTGTCTCATTTTATTGCATACAAAAGCATATATCAATGATAGTCCCTTCTCAAAGTATAGGTTTAAGCCTAAATTTGGAATTACAAAAAGAAATCTTAAAAATGACGTTTTATGAAACAATTTTATCAGCTGCTAACACGTAATAAGTCAGTCGTGGCAAATCTATGGCATGCACATTGTTTTCTTTTAGGACAAAAAATGTTAATGCCTGAGTTGTTTTTCTAAAATAAAATCTCAATATTCAGGTTTAACTGCAGCATTGGCACTTTGCAATAACTGGGTTTTGGGCTGCAGTTTGGGTAGCTGTCTCTACAAGGTTCACCGTCATTGTAACTAAATACAGACTATGTACCAAGCACTGTTTCCCCCACCACAGGAGTTGTTTCTTAATTCTGATAGCCCATAAAATACTGTAACAGGAGAGAGTTTATTTAGTTAGCTTATAAGTAAAGCAGCAAGCTAGTGCAAGGCCCTGAGAAAGAGTAGGGTGACCAGCCATACTCATAAAAATTAAGAAAATTGAGCTAGGATTTTAAACAACGAATGAATTTCCTCAGGCAGCATTGAATGCAACCTACTCCCTACTAAGATTCTGAATTTTGAGAGAGTTACAATGCACATTAATCCATTCCTTCAGGGATCCCAGTTTACTGGAAACTCTTGAGTGAAAGAACTGTACTGGAGCTGAACTACCGAGCCTGAGACCTAATCGATCATTTAAGATCCAGAGTCATCTGTGATAGGCGGCCACTAAACAGTTAAGCAATTTTTGTTCTGTGCTTGCCTATAAGTAATTCTGAATTGCAAGGCCGTGTGGCAACCCACTCAGGGTTTCTGCTGTCTCTCAGGAGCTATTCCTAGTCCCCAACAAACCTTCCCTACTCTTAACAATCTTTGCCCTGTGGAATTCATTCTTCCATTTGAGGAACATGAACTGAGCACATCTAGCAGGTTGGGAAGCTGTATTTACTCCTGTATCACTATCACCTCTATTTTGGAGATGAGGAAAATGAGGTCACACAGCTAGCAAAGGGGTCAGGTATCTCCTGTCCTACCTCTGGAGAACTCGCTCTAAGTCACTACTCTGCAGCTGATTCTTTGCCTAGATTGAGTTTGAGCTCCATGAAGGTAGGCAGTCAGCCTTACTCATCATTTTTGGCTATAAGAGAGGTAAGAAAGGTATTTACAGAATCACCAAGTGATCTGACCACTATGGCCCCGCAGTAAACAGTAGGAATCCAGGAGACGTTGAAACAACATGCTTCACTGTTTTATGGAACAAAACCTTTAGTGCATAACTTAGTAACTAGCTGTGGCAGCTCGGTGTTGCTGAAGGTCACAAGGGTGGAGGCGGGGCTTAGGAGACATCAAAGCCAGTTTTTCGTCTTTGTCATTAGGTGCTATGAGTACATCAAATTATTTAGAAAGGTAACTTCCAGCCCCAAGCTAAGAGTAACAAATCAAGAGGTGAAAAAGTAAAGGGGGCACCGCACTCCCCACGCTTACCCTGGTCCGAGGAGCGCTGCGTTCTTCAGACAGGGTGCTGCAGACATACAACGCGCAGGTCAGCAAAGTCGAGGTAAAATCGAGCCTGCCCCTTCCTCGGTCGCCGCGGAGTCCGACCCCTGAAGCCACGCACCACTCTCTTCCCGTTCCCCGGGGTCCCGCTCCGCCTTCAGGGCCCAAAGTCAGTGGGCCTCCCTGCACCCGCTTCCACTCCCTGTATTCCCTAGATTCGCTTCCTCCCAACCACCTCATAACCCAGACCTGGCTCTACAGCACTCACCTGCTGTGGCCGCGGCAGAAAGTACCACCCGGGACAGCATGGTCTGCAAAGGTCCAGGAAGCGGTCTTAGCGTCCCTATGACCCCGACCAGAGACTGGTCAAGAGCAAGAGCAAGATGGTCGCAGGCAAATCTCGCGAGAGGAGAACTTCAGACCATCATTCCTTTCGATTCTAGTCCGCCCCCCCCCACTCTCGCGAGAAGAGGCACCGCGCTGAAAACTTGCGAAGGCCTGTCCAGCAGGTTGGAAGCGTAGTAGAAATTCTCGCGAGAAGTAGTTACCGTTGCCTCCGAAGAGGGGCGGGGCCTCAGAGGTGCACCAGGTGGGAATTGCCGCCAGAGCTGAATCAGGCCGGAGTCGGATTTGAGATTAAGTGGGATTTGGAACCGTGCAGATGCGGAAGGAAACTCCACCTCCCCTAGTGCCCCCGGCGGCCCGCGAATGGAACCTGCCTCCTAATGCGCCCGCCTGTATGGAGCGGCAGCTGGAGGCTGCGCGATACCGGTCTGGTGAGCCGAGATCCCGGGCTTGGGAGCTCCCTAGCTCGCCCCCGGGGTGCCCCTTCCCAGGGACCCTGTAGCCCGCCTCGACCCACGTGCCGTCCTGAGTAGCTGCCCGAACGCTGCCCTACATCCCTGAGCTCAGATCCGGACCCGGCCCGCGTGCTGGGCTGTGCGATCCCCAGAGAGACGAGCCGCTCCGCCTCTCGCGCTGACTCCCTGTACCCTCTCTTAGACGGGGCGCTTCTGCTCGGCGCCTCCAGCCTTAGTGGTCGCTGCTGGGCCGGCTCCCTCTGGCTTTTCAAAGACCCATGTGCTGCTCCCAATGAAGGCTTCTGCTCCGCTGGAGTCCAGACGGAAGCCGGAGTGGCCGACCTCACGTGGGTTGGGGACAGAGGTATCCTAGTGGCTTCGGATTCAGGTGAGTGACTTTTCCCTTCCCTTCTCGGCCCTCCTCCGTGGAATGGATTTTTGGTCGCTGGTTGGACTGGGCTCAATCTTTAATGTTCCGTAATCACCGCCTGGAGGAGCTGAGAGTGTTGCCAAGTAGTTGAGCAATTATTTATTAGTGTCTGAATAATTAATTGGAAAGGGTCACTGGGTTGTGTATGCTGAGACGATTGTGAAGACTTCGTCCTTGTCTCCTGGGAACTGATTCTGTAGTCTTCTCGTGGGAATAGACTAATGGATTTTGTGGGTGATTTCATCTTTTCCTGCCTTCTTGAAGTTTAATTGTCTAGGCTGTTATTAAAAATACATTTAGGTTGCATAAAACCAAATGGCCTGGAAGTTAGCTGAATCCCCTAATATTGTAGGTTTCCTTTTTGTGCGAATGGGCCTACTTTTGTTAGTTTAGTATGGTTGCATGAGTTTTGGAAGGGAATTGCTGTTTTTGTATAATCTAAGCTCATGTTTCTTGTATTCCCTCACCTCACCCTACTTCATCCCCAACAGGTGCTGTTGAATTGTGGGAGTTGGATGAGAATGAGACACTTATTGTCAGCAAGTTCTGCAAGTATGAGCACGATGACATTGTGTCTACAGTTGCTGTCCTCAGCTCTGGCACACAAGCTGTCAGTGGTAGCAAAGACTTCTGGTAGGACCCTGTTCCCATCATTTCTGTTTAGATTTCCTTTGGTTGTCCTTGCCATCCTGTTAACTTAGGTAACATTTTGGGCTCCTTATGAGAATCTAGTGACTAGTTATATGGCATGTCTATTGGGTTGCCTTAGAGATAGGGCAATCCCTTGTAAATAGAGCATAGCAGGAGTCCAGGAGGCAAGGACATGGGACATGCTGGCTAAAGCAAGTTCTTGTATGAACACACTGTTCTTGGTGGTGCAGGTTAAGATTAATATCTTATTCCTGTTTCTTTGCTTCTTAGCGTCAAGATCTGGGACCTTGCTCAGCAGATGGTACTAAACTCATACCGAGGTTAGTGTTCATTTCTTTTCGTCAGTCCTGGCCTTAGTTGCCTTGTTTTTTATTCTCTTTGGGCTCTTTAAACTTGGGGTGTTAGGAGTGGCAGTTCCATGTTCTGCCTGGAGGATTTTTTGTTTTTTATTTTTTCTAGAAACTGTCAGATTCCAATATCCATCCCCTCTCCTTGTCTCAGATTTCTCAATTTCTATTGATGGTCTCATACCTTGTTGGCTCGAGAGGACTTGTTTCATCTTCCTGCACTCCTGCTCTCCCACTGTCAGTGGCCACCAGCTTCTTTGGAGTCTTCTGTTTGGTCAGTCGTGTTCTTGACCATCTCTGAGGCCTCACTCACTTTCAGACTTTATCTCTCTCACATGTGGCACTCATCTCTCCACTTAGAATTTCTGACTCTTGGTCCTTCATTGGCTTCTTGTGGGCCACAGATTGAAACCATGTTTTCTTGTCACAGCATTCAAGCCATTTTTCTGTCATTTCCTACTAGCATATCACAGGTATAGTATATACTTGACCTTCTCAAAGATAAGGCCTGAAACTTGCAATAAACTTGAGGTTTTGAATATTTATCTCCACTAAAAAAGCGCCTACAGTGTTACCTTGGTTCATGAACTTAATTCCATGATCCTCTATGCAGAGAGATCTAAATCAAATTTTCCCATAAAGTCAACATTGAACTTAACCATGGAATTTGATAGAGGTCTTGTCCAATTCAGCATGCAACTAGAATCATGGAAAGAATTAAGTTTGTCTTAGTTACTTTTCTCTCCTTTCTGAGACTTAATTCCCAACACCACAAACTAAGGGCTTATTTAGTTGACACTTTGTAGAGGTTTCCGTCCATAATCTGCTGGCTTCAAGGCAGGGTGGCATATGGCAAAGGGGCAACTGTTCATGGTGGCAGAAGACAGCAAAAGCAACAAGCAAAGGCTGTGTTTTATATTATATTCAGGCAACTGACCCTAAGGCAAGTGTAGCACTCACACCCCTAATCCTAGCCAGAACTAAGAGAAACCAGTGGACAGATGTACTAATCACATATCCTTGACACAAGGTTCTCTTGTACATATACTACAGTCTAATTCAAGAGCCTCCTGCTTCAGCCTCCCATGAGCTGAGATTACAGTTATGCACAGCACTAGTCATAAGAAATACAGTGGAGGAGGATCTTCAGGTAGCTTGCAGTATATATACAGTATACTCTTGTGTCAAAAAAGGAAAAAGGTCTATTTTTTTCTGTGGTGTACCATCACTCTCTTTAATGTTCTTCTTTGTGCTTACCTTCATTAACAGGGTTAACAGTTTAAATACAAAACAAAAACCAGTTTATTTTGGTAGCAACTTTTCAGGGTTTTTTTTTGTGTGTGTGTGTATGCAGGGTCTCACTACGCAACTCGGACTTGTAGTGATCCTCCTTTTTTCCAGCCTCCCTAGTGCTGGGATTACAGGCGTGTACACCCGGGCCTGCACTCCATCACCAGCTTGGTGCACCTGGGGGACTGGACTGGCATGGCAGGTGCCAGCGATCGAACCCTGGCCCCACTGACTAGCTCACTGGCCCCGACAGCAACTTTTCATGAGCATAATAATCAGAGCTTGTTGAACATAGGGCCTTTGTACTGAGCCATTTTCCCAGCCCTTTCTATTTCTTTCATTTTGAGACAGGGTCTTGCTAATTTGTGCAGACTGGCTAGGACTCCCGATCCTTCTGCTTCAGCCTCCCAGAGGTTGGAACTACACACCTATGCTACCAAGCCTGGCCAGCTAGAACTTGGAGGAATATGTAGCTATGAAATAGATATGTTGAGTGTTTGCTGGTTTTCTTAACGGCTAAGTACCTTTCCTTACTACTGTTCTCTAATTTCAAAGTATATAACTCAGCTTGTATCAAAATAAAAACATGTATATACTCTGAACCTTCAAGGTTACTTGCAAATTATTGAACAATAGTATTAAAATGTCCATGTCCAAAGTTTCCTATATATGATCTCTTTTTTTTTGGCTTTTTGAGACCAGGTCTTGCTCTGCAGTCCAGGCTGGCCTCGAACTCTCTGAAGTTCATACTGGCCTCAAACTCCCAGCAGTCATCTTGCCTCAGTCTCCCGAGTGCTGGGATTACAGGAGTGTGCTACCACATGGGGCTCCCAGTTAATGCTTTTTCATAGCACTTAATAGTTCTTCATTAGTTCTCTTCCCTACACCGAATTCCAAATCCTTTAGGCTGGAGGAAGTATGTGATCTTCATCTTTTATAAACTGTCGTAGTGCTTGTCTCAGAGTTTGCTTGTTTCAAGTAAGCAGTAAGTTTGCTTCTCAATTTGCTGTCCGTTGGGCTTTCCATCGATTCTAGGGCTAGGAAAGAACTGTGGGAAGTGGCTCAGCCTTCATGGCAGAGCAGGCGCGTGTTCAGATTACCTTGGAAAGTCTGGGTAGAGATGGTTTTTATAGCTCGTACTTAATGTATAGCAGTGATCTTCAAAATTTTTTACATGTAGACATCCTAAAATTTGAAAGCTATACCCCCCTCATATATTTTAAAATCACTATCCTAAGCATTTTAGATTTAAATAGTTGCAAAGGTAATTTCTGGCATATCCTTCATTGTACTCTTAATACAAGCATGTTTGTCAAAATTTTACATTAGCAAAGTAAGTGCATTTATTCAAAATATCTATCAGATAGCAAAACAAAACAAAACACTTTGCCTTGTTAAGCCAGTTGGCCAAGTTTAAGTTTACTTGCCGTCAGAAAAACGTCTCAATTCACTTGTAAATTCAGATCACCTCGTTAGTTGTGTTCTTATGACAACTTTCTATCAGGTTTTAGTTCACGTTGTTAGAAATACATAAATCCCAAAGCTAGGCTTTTATTTTTGATGTAACTCAAAGGCAATCCCCTTACTGAACTTCCCTTGGCCACTCTTTGCTTTGCCTTTTGACTATAAGGAAAAGCTCGTCTGGTCTCTTAGATTGAACTCTTAGGTTTTTCTCTGCCTGAGCACTGTGCTGTGGGAAGATTTGGGCTGGTCTAAGAAGTGGGAGATCGGTGACCATGGAAGCCCAGGCAGATCAATCTGAGGAAAGAAAGAAAATGTTAGAAAAATCTGCTTAAAACTCTTAAGTGCCAAGAATGCTTTCAGAAGCTTTTGTATACTACTTGTGGATTATACTCTCATCTGAAACCTGCTTTTCTAGAGTATATCTAACTCCTGCATCTAGTCTATCTTATTGCAGATTCCTTCACTGTTACTAAACCTCTAATTTCTGCTTCGTTGTTTTCATTAATTCCTTTCCCTCAAACTTTTATTAGCTTTTATATCTCTATCAATCTTTCCTTTTAGCATTTCTTACTTTTTAGCCTTTCATGAAATTTGTTTAATTGCATCAGAAAACCAGGCCTGTTTCCTGCAGCCTTCCTTTTGCCCCTTGGTTTTGTGTCTCAGTTTGCGTGCAGCGTTTGCACCTCCCACTGTTCCATGTCTCTCTCCTTTATAGCTCATGCAGGGCAGGTGACCTGTGTTGCTGCCTCTCCCCACAAGGACTCCATGTTGCTTTCATGCGGCGAGGTGAGATACAGCTTCTTCCTGGGTCACAGTTGGAATCTGTAGGCCAAAATTTGTGGTTTGGGGACCTGCTGGCAGTGGCTCCTTTGGATTACAGAGCCTCTTTCTGTTCTTCCTTTCAGGACAATAGAATTTTACTCTGGGATACCCGATGTCCCAAGCCAGCATCACAGATGGGTGAGTCCTGAGAGCCAGGGTGGGAGGGCTGTACTAGGAACTCCCCCAGAAGAGGCTTTCTTTGGCCAGAGGCAAAGCAGAGCTGCCAGAGGCTCGGTCACTGACATAGAGACATGATCTCTGTAAGGGACACCAAAAGGAAGGGCTGGTTCTTGGACTGGCACTTCCATTTTGTAAAACAGGGAAAAAGAGCTAGAATTACTGCTTCCTGCATTGTGCTTGGAACTTGCCTGTGACTTGCGCCTCACTAGAGGGCAGCAGGCTGGTGGATAATGTATTTACCAAGTTCAGGGATGAGCACACGACTCCTTTTACAGGGTTTGAGGAACTGAATAAAGGTGCTCCCTAGAGTTTGACATCATTTGAGAAACTCCAGGTTTTGTTTCAGTCCTCCCTTCTCTCCTTTGTAGGCTGTGGTGCCTCTGGCTACCTTCCTACCTCCCTGGCTTGGCATCCTCAGCAGAGTGAAGTCTTTGTCTTTGGTAAGGCAGCGTGTCGGCCTGCATCGGCCTGCATCGTGACTCTGCAGAGGGGGAGGGGGAGGGGCAGGGCAGACTCCCAGATACTTGCACTCAGTCTCGTCAGCACAGAGAGCGCTAGGTGAACTATGCCTTCTTCTCAGTGTATGTGATTCCTGGTTGTTCCAGCTTCCCTATTCTGAGCATGGCTGGAAGCCAGTGAACCACAAAGTGTGTGGTTTGTTACATGGAGGACTGGTGTCCTGCGGGGAGGTGAGATGCCATGGTGGTGAAGAGACTGTGCACATGGTAATAGTTTGTGGTTGAAAACAGCACCTCTGGGGCTGGGGAGATGGCTCAGTAGAAAAAGCGCTTTCCTGCCAAGTGCAAGGGCCTGAGTTCAATCCCCGGTTCCGCTCCCAAAAAGAAAACAGCACCTCTGCACCCATCAATTCTCTTAGCTACCTAATGAATCATATTCCTACTTTGCAAAAGAGGAAACTGATGCTCAGTAATTAATTTGTCCAAGCTATAGAAACTAGGGTTCAAACCCAGGTTTGGCTAACACCAAATCTTTGATCTTAACCATTGTGACCTGCCCTTTCTTTTTTCTGTAGGTGATGAGAACGGCGTGGTGTCTCTTGTGGATACCAAGAGTGCAAGCTGTGCCCTCAGCTCAGCTGTGCACACCCAGTGTGTCACCAGACTGGTGTTCTCCCCACACAGGTAGTGTTCTTTGTCAGCAGGACCCTGTAGACAGGACTGGGCAGAGCAAGGGACAGACGTATTTTGGCAGGCCTTAGTGATCCAGTCTGTTCTTTAAGGCAGGCAGGCAGGCAGGCAGGCAGTACTCCAGTTGAGGGTGCTCCTGCGACTGGTCTTACTGGGATTGCACAGTCAGCTGAAGTTGGCCGAGACGTTTCATTCCTGCTCAGCACCCAGAATGGTTTATACTGCGGGCTTTAGGGGCGTGTTGTCAGCAGAGCCTGTGTTTTCAGGTAGCTGAAGCAGTGGAGAGAGCCCAGGTGAGGTGATGAGTGGCTGGGGGGTTTTGCTCCGTCTCCTATTTCCTTGGGACTTGGAATGGTACCTAGATGCCAGGACAAGGGGCGGATCGGCCGCCACCTGTGCTGGAGTTTGGTGGACACAGCCGATTTTTGTCTTCGAGTCCATGAACTTTTCACATATGTCTTTGTCCTTCCTAGTGTTTCCTTCCTGGCCTCCCTCAGTGAAGACTGCTCCCTGGCTGTGCTGGACTCAAGTCTTTCAGAGGTGTAAGTATGCAGTGGGGTCCTGTGATCGGGAAGCAGGGAGGGCGCAGTGCTCAGCAGATTCTTTTCTCTCTTCAGAAGAGTGAGCATTTTCTGGGTGTATCTGAGCACCAGGACCAGGCACATTCCTCCCTGTACCCAGGGCGAATTTACAACCAGAGGTGTCCCTGGTAGAAGAGCCTGTGGAGAGCTGGGTGGAACGTCCAAGTCTAGGCCCCCGCCCTGTCCCACAGTAGGGTGGCCTGCCCTTTTCATGTAGAGAACCAGGTATGTGATATGCAGCCTGCTGTGAGGTGAAAGGCACAGCTGGAAGATCTGAGGCGCACCTTCCTCATAATTTGTGCCTATCTGGCCCACATCGTTGCCTTGTTGTGGCCACTCTTCAGGTGGGGAGCACTGGGTTGGATGGCGGTGACGTCTGCTGTGGGTGGCTGCACTGCTCCTCTGGTGCTGAGGGCACACGCACGGCACCATGTGTGCACGGCAGAACAGCGTGCAGTGGCTGCGTTGGTCTCTCGCTTCTTACATCTGCTTGTTCTTGTCTCTGTCATGTCCCAGCGTTTTCTTTTCTTTCCCTCCTAGGTTTAGAAACCGAGCACATCGAGACTTTGTGAGAGACGCCACTTGGTCCCCACTCAACCACTCCCTCCTTACCACAGTGGGCTGGGACCATCAAGTCATCCACCATGTCCTGCCCCTAGACCCTCTCCCAGACCTCAGACCTGAGAGTGCCTCTGAGTAGATTGTATTTAAGAGAAAGGCAAACCCCGTAAGATTCACTCCTTTGCCTGTGCCTCGGTTTGTGAGACAACACAGAGACTTGTGTAGTGTGTTGATACACTACATCTGTAAAGTTAATAGGGATGGTATTTCAGCCTGAGGGAAGCTGGATTCTGGGGTACTATGGTTACAGCAAGGAAAAACGTTCTAGAAAATGGATATAAATGAGTGCATTTATAGACCCATAGTTTTTTGAGAGAAGAGTTAAAACCATCCTGTTTTCCCATGTACTTCTCCCTCCCCCCTAAAAAATTGACAAGGTTTTCTGCTTTACAAGTCACTATGGGGAATTAGCCAAGTTTTTGGAAGCAGATCTATGCTATTCATACAGATAGGGACAACTTATTTTATAGAGCTTAATTCACAACTATGGGGAGTAATTCCATGCCCAAGAATCCAACCCAGCTCCTTTGAAGAGGAGGCAGGATATACTCAGTAAAGTTCCGCACAGCTTCATGCTATTAAGCTGAATCAGAGGTCTGGCTGGCGCTCACGTAATGCCTGCTGCTCTGCCCCCGTGGCGCTGTAAGATACGAGTATTTTTCTGTCATCGGGGAAGCTAGGGACGATGGCAAGCTTAAGGGCATTTCAGCTAAGTTAGAAAGCTGACATGGACTGTTACAGAGAAATTTTTGTCACTTCCCACCTAAAACCAGCCTGAAGTTTGCCCTGCTTCTAGACGCTCTGGATAAAGGAAGTCTGAGTGCTGTATTGTGGACTCTTCTAGGATTTTTAAATCCAGCATCAAGGAAAATGTGAAATACTGGTTGGTAAAATAAAGTTTACGTGTTTATCTTTTTGAAGTCTGTGTTATATACATTTGAACATAGTGTATTTCACTTATGTGAGTCAGTATATTTTGGTTTTCTAAGGGTCTCACTATAGTTGAGTCTGGCCCCAAACTCACAGCAGTCCTGCCTCAGCCTCCTGAGTGCTGGGATTACAATCATGTGCAGCTGCTCACAGTCACAGTAATGGGGTTTTCGTCTTCCAGTGCACTGAGGATTCTGTGCTGCAGGTCCCAGAGTAGCTAGTTGGAACTTAAAGGGGATGTTTATTTTGTTGGCTGATTGAAATGGCTACTGCCAGAACTCAAGACTAAATTACTTGATTGTATTTGACTTTTTTTTTTTTTTTTTTGGTGGAACCGGGGATTGAACTCTGGTCCTTGCGCTTGCCAGGGAAGCGCTTATTCCACTGAGCCATCTTCCCAGCCCCACTTGATTGTATTTGAAAGTAAATACAATCAATTATGTACCTTTGAAACTTTCAAATTCAGATAAAATTATGTGAAAGTGTGCATCTTAAAAGAATATGGACAAAATATTTCTTAAAGTTTCCCTGCATCATCCTGCTAGTTGGAGCTCTGTTCTCTTGCTTACCTTTGAGTAAAATGTGTGAGAAGTCATGAGTTCCTGGTGTTAAGAGGAATAAAGTCTTCCACTGTTCTTAATTATTAGCTTCCTAAGAAGAAATCAGGTGGTTAGGTGGAATTACTCAAGTTCTGCTCAGGTGAAAGCTTAAGTTTTGTGGGTACTTAAGAGGAAGGAAGGGCATGATATGGACAGGTATTAAATTTATTTAGATAGCTTTTTTCTTCTTGGGTTTAAGAAGTATAAAGAAAAATCAGAAAGAGAAAAGATGCCAACACAATGTATGTACATGTTTAGATGGTTACAGTTACACCAAAGAAGGAAAGCATGGTTCTCTTTTATTATAAAACAAAACAAAAGGCTGGATTTGTACATGATTCACATGACTGCCACAAGATGTATAAACATAATCAAAGTCAAGGAACAATTAGAACAGTTTTGGATGAACATATAATGGTGAGAAGAGAGTTTTTTTAAGAAAAGATGACCTCAAAGCAATATCGTGAGTTGACAATTCTTGAGAGTAGTTTTAGGACAGTAAGCAAGGACTTGCTAGTGACAGCAATGGAGAACATTTTCTTTAAAAAAAAAAAAATCTTGCATTTAATCTCACTGGTTCAAATGTCTATAAACACTAGTAAATCTATTTCCTAAGTTCATTATGCTTACTCTGAAATCCATTTGCCTGATCCCTTGTATTTCAAGTACTGCTCTCTGGTCCACCAAGGTGCTTAGCCCTTCTTGGACCCACAAGGAACACTGAAGAAATGTTACCTAGACTGAGGTGAAATCAGACACCAGCCTGATTATTGATGCATTTTGCTGCCTCAGAGAACAGTTGGGATATGGATCATTAATAAATTTCTCCAGGCACTACTGGCTCACAGTCACAGCAGAAAAACACAAAGTGGGCCATGTTTCCTAAGGACAAAAGATGGAGGAAGGTCGTATTTTATTTGATAAAATTTAAAAATTCAACTTCAGATAGTTCAAAAAGACACTTGCCATTAGACCTGGAGATGAAGGACTCTGATTTTCAAAACATTCTTGTTGCTTTTGGACAACATAAGTTAATGTTTTTCAAATACACATACATCTGTATTTCAATAGTTTGGCTTAACTTTGAGTCTACCAACTAAGAACAGGAGGTTAAAAAAAAAAAAAAAAACTTGTTCTAAAATACATAAGCATTGTAGAAGAGAAAATGTTCTAGTGTGTTCTGAAAAACTTAAGGAGAGCCAACCTGGAAAACGACAGAATTAATCCACAGTGACCATTTGCAGTGAGTGCCTTATCGCCAGTCTGGGTCACGCTGACCAAATCAGAATCACTTTTCCAGGAAGCTGACTTTGTTGGAAAGAGTAGGCAAACTAGTCTATTTTGAACTAAGTAAACTTCTCTCAAGAACTTAGACTGTAGCTGATGTAATATGTTTTTGGAAAAATTAAACAAGATTAAGTAGATCACTGTTGGGTCCAAAACACATCTTTGTTGAATTCTTCATTGAAAAAGAAGCAGTTACGGTGTATTTATTTTTATTTACAGTCAGGAATAGTACAGAGGAGCTAAAGGAAGAGTGAACATCTGAAAAGAAGTAGCCATTTCTTAAATTGTTAACGTCCACTGCCCAACCCATGATCCTCTAGTCTCACACATTTAGTGTGGAAACCTTCCTTGCAAAGGATATTCTGCAGCTTCAGTGTAAAGAACAGATTATCAAAATTCAAATAAGAGTTTAGCTTCCAATAAACGTTCTTTTTTTTTTTTTAAACGTATTTAGTACAGGATCTCACTACACAGATTGGGCTTGTAGTGATCCTCCTGTTTTTAGCCTCCCAAGAGTTGGGATTACAGGCATGCGCCACTATGCCCAGTCTTCAATAAACATTTTTAAATGTTCTGATAGAAGCCACGCTAGTGTCCTTGGTTTTGAGTTCCTATAGTGAATATAAATATATCTCACTTGCCCCTGTAATGGAGCTCTAGATTCCAGTCAAGCATTTCATGTTGAGAGGTATTAAGTTAGAAGAATTAGGGTGCCAGGGAGATAGCTCAGTGGCATAACCTCCTGCCTGGCAAGCGCAATGTCCTGGGTTTGATTCCCAGCACAAAAAACAAACAGGAAGATCACTACAAGTCCCAGGTGAGTAGTGAGTCCCTGTACCAAATACATAAATGAAAAGCAAACAAACAAACAACTTAGAGAAAGTGAAATGCAGCTTACGCAGCTTTTCTTTAATTTGTTTTTAGTAATGGGGATTGAACTCAGGACGTTGCGTTCGCCAGGCAGGTGCTTATGCAGCTGAGCTATAAGTGGCTGAGCTATGCCAGCGAAGCAGCTTTTCTGATGGTCTACCTTCTGCATCTTTGTGGAGCACATGCTTTTCACCAAGGAGCAACATAAAAACTTAAAAATGGTGCACGATAAAAATAGTTGAGATCTGTAACCCTTCTACTAAATCTTGAGTTTTGATTCTCAGTAGGAAAGTCATGAGTTACAGTGATTGAGCAATAGTTTAAAGACTAAAAATAATTTGAAATATTATCAAATAGTGAAGGATTGCTTCTCATAGACACACCTTCCCTCTAAAGATGAGATAATTTACTAGAAAATGCTGTACAATTTACCATCATCTGTGGTGAATGCTCCTAGTGTTTACCCTCTGATTGATTTTATTCCGTGATACTTCTCCAACTTACTTCCACGAACATCATGAAGATTTTGGACAAATGCTTCGTTGAAACCAAAGTCCTTCATATCCACCACGTTGGCTTCCTCTAGTTGAGTCTTGTTAAATTTGAAGGGGGTCACCCTGCTTCAGGAATTTCATCAGTTTCCCAAGTAAAAAGCACTTGTAAATGTCTACTCTACTTGGTGAGAACCGGCCTAGCACTAACGTATGTTTTCTAAGTATGCAGGTGGGTGTGTAAAAATAAGTACTTTGTTTTTGACAGCAAGAACTCAAAGGAAAAGGATTGTGGACAATAAGCGACACAGAACACTGATTTCCAACATAACTTTCCTCGGTGTTCTATGATTTATCATCTGCTAACCATCGAGAGTCATACTCCCAGCTCTTCGACATAGTCATTCTGAATTAAGAAAAGGTCATTTTGGGACATCCATTGTTGTATCCTGGCATTCTCATTGTTGTATCCTGTATTCTCATACGACCTTGTTGTATCTTGACCATCAGTCACATTTTCAGAAGAAGAGATCAGGTATGAAATCTAGCCATGAGCACTACAGCAGGATAAGAACCCAGAGGACTGACACAGGTGCAGATCGGTGAGGTTCAGGTTGATAGGTAAGTCTGGCTTCTGCAATGGACACACCATTAACATCTAGGGCCCCGGGCAGCAGTGTGAGTGGAAGGGTACAAATCTGGTGGGAAATTTCAGTGAGGTAGGAAATTGAAAGGCAGGGGTTGCTGGGAGAGGGGCTCATAAGAAGAGAGAGGCAAACTCCTATTCCACATTAAGAATATCTCAAAAGGCTGGATGTGGTGGCACATGCCTGTAATCCCAGTACTTGGGAGGCTGAGGCAAGAGGATCACTGAGTGTGAGGCCAGCTGCACAGTGAAACTCTGTGTCCAAAAAAAAAAAAAAAATCTCAGAAGGAGATAGAAGGCTAGAGGGGCTCAAGCTGAAAAGATAGAGGGGTCTGGCAAGGTTGGGGGTCTCAGTAACCACATGTAGTACCTGTAGTTTATAGAACAGGAGGAGAAGTAAAAACATAAAACCAATAGCAAGAAGTGGGTTACATGGGCAGGAATTGGGACGCAAGTAAGTACACATGGTCAGCAGAGTTAGAGAATACACTGGAAGTCATCCACCAGCATCCAAGTTGTTGCCAAACCTGATCCCATGTTGGCCCCAGGAGGCTTAATTATTACCTCCTGGTTTCATTCACCTTCACCCAAGGAATGGAGAGTGCATGGAGAACACAGATGGGACCCAAGTGCCTCAAGATGGCACAGGGCAGGAGTGGGATATCAGGTCTGGTGAACAACCAAACTGTTCTCATCACGCCACTTTTTCCCGAGAGGGACGGCCGTGCTCTAGCTCTGAGTGTAGAATGCATCCGTTCACTAGGTCACAAGATCCTTAAAAGCAGAAACAGTTTAAGAGTCCATCAGGGCCTGACGCCTGCTCAGTGAATATTTGTGGAAATATTTATTGAATACCTAAGGAAGATAAAGATGGATGAAGAAAGGAGCCACGGTCTCTACTGGATCTGTTGGGTGGGCATTCAATCAGAATTTCCCAGAACTTTAGTGAAATACTCCTGGTCCTAGCATTCTATATCATTTATTTTAATTCTAAATACTACTACTGACTTAAAAACAACACTTCTCTTGGTTTCTTTTTAGTGCAGACAAAAGATAAATGTTCTGTGGATTTGATCAGTGTTTTCTGCTACTCCCTGGGTCATGTAGGCCATAGTAATACGTGGACTAGGTAGACAGCAGTGGTCTCTGAAAGGATGGACATGTGTTCTGAGACCTCCTATAACAGAGAACAGAGATTGACATCATAAAAGCATCTGCCTTAGAGACTCATTCTGTGTATCTTTCTTCCTGTTGATGTATTTTTTAAAAAAGTGGCTGTCCGATACCTAGAATAGTATTCACTGTATACCTGAGATTTATGACCACTTATCACCATTGGCTCATATAATACAGGCTCCAAGATTAGTGACCTATAGAGATTAGGTTTTTGTCTTCTCTTGAGCAATTAAAGGACTGCTAAATATTGGGCCTATTTTCTTGCAGGGCAACCATTAGCAGCTACTCAGAGCACTGTTCCTGATCATACCAATCTCTGTTGTCTCCTGACCAAGAACCTCCATATTACTTGCGTTTCACTGGGCTTGAACTGGTTTTCTTTGGGGGCTGCTTGAACTGTTATTCTTCTAATAAAGTTGACTCTTCAGTCTTATTATGTCTGCTTTACTGCTATACGTGACCTCTGGTTGAGTCTCAGCATTTGAGTATGAGAACTGTTCTCTGTTGGGTACTCCTTCCGATAGCCTTCATGCATTGGGCCCTGATTATATGTGAAGTACTGAGCTGATGATTTTTCATACCATATCTTCTTTAGTTCATATAAAGCCCTATGAAGAAAGTATGGGCTACTCTACACGTGGAAACTGTAGCTCACAGAGGCTAAAGGCACAGCAAGATGATAAAACTTCTAAGTGATGACACAAACATTGCATTGAAACTAGCTGTGGTGGAGCACGCCTTTAGGCCCAGCACTTCGCAGGCTGAGGTGGGAGGGTCACCACTAGTTTGTAAGCCAGCATGGACTACACAGTCTGACTGCAGAGCAAGACCCTATATCAAAAAACAAAAACAAAAAAAAATCCTTGCATTTAAAAGTTGAACCCAAAAGCTGAGTCCAAAGCTGAAAAATTTAAACTTTACATTAGATTTCTTCCACAACCAGTAGTCTTGTACAAATAGACTCATTGCTATCACAGTCTTTCTTTCCAGTATGGGGCGGAGCACCAGGAAGCAGCACTGAGTCCCAGGAATGCTGCCTTGTCCTCCCACAGCCCACGGTGGCGCTCACTCTCTGCCAGTGTTAGACAACGGCTTTGGCTTTGTTGGCTCTGAGAGCTGTAGCTATGCTGAAGAGGGAGGACAGGTGGTTCTGGGGTCACTGTGACTCTCATAAATCACTGATTGTGGCACTGAGTTGTGTGTGTGTGTGTGTGTGTGTGTGTGTGTGTGTGTGTGGTACACAGGCAGGCTGTCCTCATACTGTACATGGGCCAGCCCCTATAAAGGGGTTCAAGCTCTGGCCTCGTAGCTGCCAGACTGCTGAGATGGGGAGGCTGTTGTTATGGGTTGGTAAGTGTGCACTGTGTCTCAGTGCAGGAAGTGCCAGGCTTTCTGAGTTTGTCACCTTGCTGATCTCCAGTAGAGCAGCCTGGGACGCAGGGATCTGGATGAGGTGGTGATGGGGTAGGACAGAATGTTCATGAGAACTCAGGGAGAAAAGACCATAGCAGTAAGGTTCTCCAAGCTGATTGAACATTAGACATTTTCCTGCTTAGGTTCCCCCTTGGACCAATTAAATGAGACTCTCTGAAGTAGAAGCTAGGATACCAGTACTTGGAAATTTGCTCTCAGGATTAGGAACCACTGACCTAGAGCTCTTGCGGGATCATCTAAAAATCAACATTCCTGTGCGAGGCATATGTGGGTACAGGGGATACTTATTAGAGAGAAAAGGAACTTAGGCGCAGTTAGCTTTATTGGCTTGACATTAGAGGAGAAGACATGAGTGAAGGGTATGTGTCTCCATGTGTGCATCTGTATGTGGGTACAGTGCCAAGCTGGTGACGATGCCTGCTAGTCAGAAGGTGCTCAGGGGCACTGCTGGAGGTGTGCAGACAAGTCTGTGTGACCTCTTCCTCTGTTTCTTGCAGTGCTGGCTCTTGTGCTGAAACACCATGACGGTAAGAAAATAGTACTATGGAGATTCTCCGGCTAGGAAGTCCTCCAGCCTGCCTGTGTCCTGCAGCCCTCCTTGCCTGGCTCCTCTGCCAGGGGTTACTGATCCCTTACAGTTCAGCAGAGGATCCTCAGCCACCTGCTTTCATGTCACTCTGTGCCAGGCTACAGACAAGGATTCCTTTTTGATCAGGATTTCACAAAGCATTCTAAGCCCTCTACCTGGGGCTCTCAGCAAGGGGGAGGGATCGGACCTCAAGGTCTTCGGTCGTCGGTGGGCTTTGGCATGTATGTGGTGGTGCTGAGGAATCCTCTACACTCACCTGGCTTCCTGGGCCAGGCACTCACACTTCTTTCTGGGGGCAGAACTCTGCCTCTTCCCTCATCTCTGTCCACTGACATGTGCTCTCCCTGACTAGGTGCTGCCTACAAACTGGTGTGTTATTTCTCAAACTGGGCACATAGTCGACCAGGCCCTGCCTCTGTGTTGCCCCAAGACCTGGACCCCTTTCTCTGCACCCACTTGATATTTGCCTTTGCCTCAATGAGCAACAATCAGATTATTGCCAAGGATCTCCAGGATGAGGAAATTTTCTACCCAGAATTCAACAAACTCAAAGAAAGGTGTGTTTGTATTGGATTTGGGGTCAGATTTTCAGATTTTACTGATGTAAGGGAATTAAGCCTATTTCTTCTATTACTTTTAGCCTTTTCTCTGATCTTTCCTGTCCTAGCGTCCTCCCAAAAGCATTTCCATAGCATTCCTAGTGCGAGAACTCCCAGTTAACCAATTCTCAGAGCTCCTTCTTGCCTCCTTGCCTTGGTCATTTTTCTGCTTCTGTTGGATGCCATCTCTTTTCTCTCTGCCTGGCAATCTCTAGGTCCCCTTCTGAGGCCAGGTGTGAAGATTTAAGGTATTAATGCTATTAAGGTACTTTAAGAGATTCTGAACATAACAAATGCTCAACTAACACTGATGTTTTTCTAATCTTTTGTCACCTGCACTCCCCAAGTGGTGAGCTCCTCAAGGCAATGTTTCTTACATCTTTGAACACCAAGTGGCTAGGTCAGAACCTGCCGAGAGTTGGCACTCCTTGGTTATTTTCTTGTCCAAGGGATGGTTTGTTGCTGCATAGGTGGGAAGGATGAAAATCCTAGGCCACCAGATTGCAGGTTCCTGAGAGAGGGGAGTTTGCCCACTGCTTAATATTGTATCTGAAATACCTAAAGCAGTCAGGACACGTAGTTGTTGCTGAACAAGTATTTGCCGAGTGAATGAGTAAAGAGGACTATTTCAGGCTAGTCTTTTATTTATGGGAACATTATGGGATTGTAGGAAGAGTCTAGTAGATTTTGTATAGCCTTTTAATTGTGGGGCTGCAATGAGACTTGGGCTGATTGCTTTCCCTTTTCCTTTTTTCCTCTTCCCCGTGTCTTTCTCTCTCTTCCCGCCCACCTTCGCCTTCCTTTCTTTCCCCAGTGTGCCATTCCCCCATTTCCCATTGTTCTTCCAATTAGCCAAGCAAAAGGAAGGGTGAATTCAGCTGTGCCCTGGCAGGAAGACGCAGCTCACTCACTTCCTGTCCCACATCCTAGGAACAAGGAGCTGAAAACACTGCTGTCCCTTGGAGGGTGGAACTTCGGCACATCGAGGTGAGCTCTTCTCACTCACTTTTTTTCTTTGAGAATGGAGCAGGAGGGCTAGAAGTGAGGATGGTAGGGCGAGAGCGTCAGCTTCGCTGTGAGGACAGCAAGACTAGGGGGAAGCTTCCCAGCCCTGATTTCACCCTGGATTCAGCCCCCACCATGGGGCGCCATGGAAGAGAAGGCAGTTCCAGCAGATGGCAAGAAAGTGGGTGAGGGGGGATGAGACACAAGATGGGACAGTCTCAAACAAACCTCAACCTTCCATAAAACATAGGGGTTTTGTCTCTAAGGAGAGGCATCTTATGTTGACACAGGACCTGGTTTTCTTTACTTCATAAGTGGATCCAGTTATACCAGGATCCACTTAGTCAATTTTCTCGTTGCTAAGACAAAATACCTGACATCTACAAGTTAAAGGGGAAAGGTTTATTTATCTCACAGTTTGTAGAGGTTTCAATGCATAATCGGCTGGCTGCAGGGCAAAGTGGCTTGGCAGAGCGGCATTGCAGAGGAGAGAGCAGTTCTTTGTAGGCAGAAGACAGAAAAAGCAGTTGAACAAGGGATAAGACAAGTTTCTTCTGTTCCTTGTGTTGATTGTATCCAGGCTATCAGGGTTAGGGTGGAGCAAACCAATCATTGGACTGATTTAGTAACCATGCACCTTTAGTCCAAGTTTTTTTTTTTTTGTTGTTGTTGTTTTTTTGCAGTACCAGGGATTGAACTCAGGACCCTGCACTTGCCAGGCAAACGCTTATTCTACTGAGCTATCTCTTCAGCCCCTTAGTCCAAGTATTGCACCATGAGTCATCACACATTCTAGATCCAGTCACCTCTGAAAAGTCCCACTTAGGACTGTCTGAGGCTTTGGGAATACATTAAGCTGCAGCAGCCTCAAAAGCTGTATTGGAGAACAGGGGGCCACAACGCTAGTCTTAGAGTATGGGGACCACACATACATTCAGTGCATCATGATGCATGTTAGCCCTGAACCCTCCATGAGGCACTGTGGAGTAGATAACCTGCCTACATATTCTCTGAAAAAATGCTGCCTCTCAGTGATGGCCAAGGCCTTGCTTGAAAGAGAAAACAAAAATCAAACAAGAAAATCAGCACAAGAGACAGAAATTCCTCTTTAGAACACTGGCCTCTTATGTCAACTTAATCAGCCCAGGCCCAGATTAGCTCATAGAACATTCTGGAAGTGATGGTCTTGGCTCCCTCCAGTCAAGGAAAGAATGTTTGTGCTAGGACAATTTGTGGACCTGACAGTTATTGGTGAGGAACCATGAAGAGCAATTTTCCAGCAAGTGAACCAGGCCAGGGACCCTGAAGGAGACAGCTCACACACTGTCTCTGCACTTGTCTTGTGCTTGCTCTGGTGGGAATTAGGAGTGTGCTGAGGAGTATGGATGGTTGAGATTCTGCGAACAACATTCTTTGCCTCTTGCCCTGGTCTCTCTGCAGATTCACCACTATGCTGTCCACGTTTGCAAATCGTGAAAAGTTTATTGCTTCAGTTATCTCTTTCCTGAGGAGACATAACTTCGACGGGCTCGACCTTTTTTTCTTGTACCCTGGACTAAGAGGCAGCCCCATGCATGACCGGTGGAAATTTCTCTTCTTAATTGAAGTAAGGCCACCGTGGGAGGGCCAGGGTATAGCAACGGCTGTGCTTGTCTGTTTGTTTTGTAATCCCGTCCAGGCTCATGGCTAACAGGGAGCACAAGGCTGGGGGCAGGAGCAAGAGAGAAGAAGCCCAGCATTTTTTCCTGCTATGGTCTCCAGAGGACTTAGGCACTCTTCCTGCCTAGCAGGTGTCTTTGGTTGGTCTCTCTGCATCTGGGTCTTGCTCCAGCCCTCCAGCCTAAGCGGTGCCTGCTGTGTGCGGCATCCTGAACTCCCTTGGACAGTGCCAGTCTGGATTGGAGCTCCCAGCCCGCTCACCTCGTCTCTGTAAGCTCTGCCTTGTTAGTCTATACCTGCCTTTCTTGATGCCTGTGGCAGGGCCTGTCTCTGACTCAGCTCTGTGTCCCCAAACTTGCCCTATGGAGCTCAGCACTATAAATGCGTCCTGGAGGAAGCCTTCTCCTCAGCTATTTTGTCTGGTTCTGTCTTTTTCTAGGAGATCCTGTCTGCCTTCCAGAAGGAAGCGCTGCTCACTAATCGCCCAAGGCTCCTTCTCTCTGCTGCAGTCTCTGGTGTTCCACACATCGTTCAAATATCTTATGATGTACGCCTTTTAGGAAGGTCAGTAGGTCCTGGTGGCGCAGGATGGTGGGAAGGAGGAATCTTGAGCACAAGACCCCAGAGCAGCTCATACACTGTCTCTGCACTTGTCTTGTCCTTGCCCTGGTGTCAGTGGGAATTAGGAGTGTGCTGAGGAGTGTGGATGGGGCCAGAGTCAGCTGATTGTAGATACCCCAGGCCTTTTAATATATATATATTTGGTATAGGGTCTCACTATGCAGCTTGGACTCATAGTAGTCCTCCTGTTTTCAGCCTCTCCAGTTGGGATTACAGGCATGCACCACCATGCCCAGTCTTGGTGGCCAGCTCAATGTGTCCGGCAGTAGGGCCAGTGTAGCATGTGGTGCTGGGGATGGAACCCTGGTCCCCGTGCTCACTTAAGCAGGTGCTTAGTCTGCTGAGCTATCTTGCCGGCTCTCCCAGGCCTTTCCTTAGAAGATTAGAGGGAGATGCTGTCCTAGTGGCCACAGTGTTCTTATGGGTAGAGTCTTCTGCATGGCCTGGTGCTGGGTCTCACAAGAACAGAATGCCATGAGCCTGGCCTCTTCTTTCTCAGAGGACAGCTAGAGACACAACGTGGCAGATACTGGCTTTAGAGTAACAACCAGTGCTATAAAACCAAAGAGGAACGCCTGTTCACACCCACTTTTCAGAGCAGGTCTTCATGGCAAAGGTTAAAAAGGTAGACAAGAATTGTACGTGAATCTTTCTGGACATGTTGGCTCTGGGGTAATTTTCTTGAATCTCAACAATCCAGTACTTACAGATAAAGATACTGAGGCAGATGCAGGAAAGGGGAGGGCAGGAGTTTCTATGTGTGATTGCACAAGGGAGAGCCATTTCGGTGTGGAGGAAACAGGAGAAAGCGAGTAGAGGATGGCGTTGGTGAGTATTAATCCAGAACGCAGGCAAGGCTTAACCTGTTTGAGTTTCAAATTTTTCTTCTTCTCCTACTTTTTCTTCTTTTTTTTTTTTTTTAAGACATTCTTTATTTTCCAACAAATGCCTGAGATTTGCCTATACTGTCATATGAAGCAGTAGCTCATTAATTTTCACTGTATTTATGGATAAGCTATAATTCACTTATGGATGGGCATTTGGGCTTTTCAAGTTTTTATTATAAAAGATATTGCTCCTCTAAATATTCTCCAACAGATCTCTAGTTCTAACATCTATACCCAGGACAGGAGTTGCTAAATGAAGAAGTGAGTGAATTTTGATTTTACTAGATAACTCCACATTTTTATCTCAAAGTAGTTCCAACAACTTACACTCCCACTGCCAGTATAGAAGAGCTAAGATCATTTCATATTCTTGCCAGCATTTAAATTCATCATCATTTGATTGTTATTAACCAGGGTATGTGATGTGATATCATGTTATGGGTTTAGTTTGCAGGTCTCTGATTATAAATGAAGTCAAGCTATATTTTCTTTTTCTTTTCTTTTCTTTTTCTTTTTTTTTTTTTTT